AAAATTGTCAACCAAAATTATGCTTCCTATGGTAACATTGTTTGATTGTTGTGATATTCAAAATAAAGCATTCAATATGAATATATAAATGAATAAGCTCCTCTACACAAACATTCTTCGTTAACATGTTATCGAAGGAGGATCTTTAGTGATCATGGTCAAAATAGATGGCCACTTGGGCGAATCCCACCAAAATTATCTTATTTTGTACAACCAGCACGATTAAGTGATCAAGGCTTCAAGGACCCACATGTAACTAATATCAAGCCAGCATATCAACAATGCCGGAAAGAAAAATTTCAAGCTTTAATGATGCAACAACACAATTAAGTCTCGTATCAACAAAAAAAGCCAAATCACCAAGGACTATCATTTCAATAAACAAGCAATGGAGTAGCAAAAAGGACTAATAATTCCATCATTATTTAGCACAGTTTATCCCAAAATTTCCAAAGCCCCTCGTTGTTTTGTGGATTGGGCTGGGAACAAATACTTGTAATTATTACAAGTTTGTTTCAAATTTATTTTTAGATTTTTATCTCCTATAATTGTAAATGGAAAGACCATGTATGCCTAATGTATTGATGTATTTCTTTCCAACTCTAATGTGATTGATTCAAATTGCCGCAAACTCTCAACATTCCCTACCTTGCTTAATATCAAGCATGGTTGACCCTAAAATTTCCAAAGGATGAGGGGTTTGTCCTCCCCTCCTTGATTTGTGGATTGGGTTGGGAACAAATACTTAAAATTATTATAAGTTTGATTCAACTTTAATTGTAAAGCGGAAGACCGTTTAGGCCTAACACTAGTGTATCGATGTATTGCTTTCCAACTCTAATGCGATTGATTCAAATTGCTAACATCAAATAAAGAGAGTTCTAGTAGCGTCCTCCAAAGTCTTCACCCTTGTGATGGTTTGGAGTATGGATTTATATGAGTCGGGTCGAGCTTGAGCTACCCTTAGCTTGAGCTTGAGCTTCATTAATTAATTGAGTCCGAGCTCAACCTTGATCTTATTTCTACAAGTTTGAGCCGGCTCACGAACTAGATTTTTAATTATGGAAGAGATAAGACAATATTAATTCAAATTGTGTAATGAGTATTTATGAAATAATTAATAAGAAATCACTTGAAATAAAATATACATTTTTTAATAGTTTAAGGAAATTTTCTTTAATTTAAATATATTTTGAGTATAATTTTATTAATTATTTTTCTAAGCAAGCCGGCTCATGAGCTAAAAAATCAAATCGGGGGCTGGCTCGAGCTTAGCTTGTTAACTCATTCAGCCTGGTTCATGAGCCACTTATCGAGCCCTCGTGAGTCTACTTGGTTCACTTGACTCATTCAGCCTGGTTCATGAGCCACTTATCGAGCCCTCGTGAGTCTGCTTGGTTCACTTACACCCCTGGTTTGGAGGGTGCTACAGTCTCCAATCATGCATATGTTAGTTGAAACAGAATAATGGCATGTACCTTTCAGCCAAAAGCATTCATTTCCATGAATTTTACACACTGAGAGTTTTTAGAAGCAGGTATCAATATTAACATGCAAAATCTAGAGAAATATAAGCAAATTACCAACACAGTTAACTTTGGGACTAAAAGGATCCGTGGAGACCTCCTCCTTGTAACTCTTAAATCCTTCAATAATAATCTGGACAAACACCAATATGAGACAAGATATCAAAACCGAACTAGACCTCAAACCAAAAACCATACAAATATCAATTAATCTGCTCCAAAATCAGAGACCGAGGAAAGAAGAAGTTCACCTTCTTAATATGCATTTTCAATCAGCAACTAAAGCACCGCCTAATACCTGCCATTAAAAAAACAAAATTCAGCACTTTAATAGCTTCCAAGACAATTAAAGCCAAAATCCCGCTACAAAAAAAATTAAAAATGCCAAGCACAGATGAATTTCCATGAAGCATTAACATGGTAATCACATAACTCATTTTTCAATAGGCAGAACCCTAATTCGGTGATTAAGGTCTTTCATATACTTTCCTTTACTAATAACCACTCTTGCTCCGCAGCTTGTGGAGCTTTTGAGTTATGCACAACGCAAACAGAAAATAAATATATACATGAAAGGGGATGAGTTTGAGAAGAAATCTGGAGTTAAGAGGAAGGTGAATACCAGCGCGAAGCAGTACTCTTGCAGGGATCGATGAATCCTGGTAGAATTTCAGAAAGTGAATGAGAACAAACCCTAGCTAAGTAGAAGAGACATGAGAGTGAGTCGGAGGGAAAGCCGGGTAAGCAGTAAGAGCGTGGGAAAGCGTATTTTGGAAGGAGAAAGATCGACGTCTTACCGAAATTTGACTCAAATAGCATAAATGGGATTTTTTTCCTCGATTAAAATGCTCTAAATTTAATTGAAGGTAGTTAAAAAGGGGACATTTACCAACATATCACTCAATTTTTTTTTATTTATATATCTAACACATAAATTTTAATTTATATTTTTATCACCCAAAATTTGTATATCACATCAAAAATATCATTATTTTAACAATTAAAATGTGAAATACATGTTTGTGTGGATAAGATGAAATATATATGTTGAATTTTGATTTGTATATGAATCACAGCCCAATAAGTAGAGCATAAGTCGGGAGAGATAGAAAGGGATAAAGAGATGAGTGAACAGTCATGAACGATATCATAATGTGTTTTATTTGTGAAATAGTATCTCCATTTTTAGATAGTACAATATGTTGATGTCACATTTTTTTCTCTGCTTTAAATAGAATTGTACATGGTATAATTGGTATTTTATATGTTTGAGCATGTCACTCAGCAGCTCTCTAGCTCGATAGATTGAGCCTTAACTAGATTTGAGTAGAAAAGATCACTTAGTCAGTTGAGATCCATTATGTCGTTCGGTTGCACTTGGTTGGTTGATTATAGCTCGATTGTCGATCCTTGGCTTCTTTTGCGAAGTCGATTGGAGATAATGGAGAACAAAATCTTCTCTTAAATCTATTTTCTCACCACAATTGCCTCAGATATTTTTTTTTTCTAATTTTCTGACTAAATGGCTTGTTATAGCATCATTTGGTTTCGTTGGCTTTCGTCTCATTAGTCAGATCAAACAGCTTCACTTGTTTGAATAAATGTGCCTCATGGTCTTATGTCAGTATGTCATCCTTTCTCAAATTTTCTTTATCTTGACTCTTTGTTCCCCTGGTATCATAGCTAACACGTGTTTATTCACATATTTTAGCTTTCTATTCTCTTACTTCTTGAAAGTGGCGTTGCAAATATTAATATAAATTTATTCAAAAAATATATTGCGTTTATTCTTAATTGATGATTCAATAATTTAATTGCCTTGATTTATGCACATTTGATCCTTATAAATAGGTGTGATAAAACTCTTTGTGTTCCAGACTTTCTTTCCATCTGTTCTTATTTGAATGTTTCACTTTCCAAGTTCTATCACAGATAACATGTCAAATCTCTAGGTTGGTGTCTCCAACAAATATTTGCTTCGTGTTGCATTTGGGAGACCAAAGAAACGGTACCCCCGGAAGGTGAAAAGAAGAAAAAAATCATCATTAAGAAGAGAGCAGTGAGTGTGTTGGCAGATCAGGTAAGTCATCTAATTCATTCCTCATCTCTCAACAAAGAAAAAATCAAGTGACCAACCGACCATCAATTTGTCAACTCAACCTTTCGGTTGTGGCACGGGACTTGCCAATTGAACAGATTGCATAAGAAATTGTTTGTTCTCTGCCACTATCCCGAGCGCATGAAGTTATTATTGCTCTATCACCATCTGGTGAGAGCATCATATCGGTTACAAATATAACTGGGATTGACTTCAGTCTTGCTTGTTAAGTATTGATTTTTGATGGTTTCCTCTTCTTTACATTGTTATTTGATGCAGTTGGTCTGGTCCTGATAGTCCCGAGCGATAACTCGCCTACTGTAGACATTGGCAGGAACTCAACCATGTGCCAAGCTTTAAGTAGCCGGTGAGAATACAGAGCGACTACCTTGTTTAGCACTGACCTATTATTTTACAACAATCAATTATGCTTTGGTTTAAGGTCGCCCTTTTGTCATTGGTCAATAATCTTCTAGTCAATATAGCTCTGCACCTACTTGTTTGCCTTCTGGGTCAATCAGGATGGTTGTGTTCAATTTGCTTTTATTGGTAAATTCAAACTTCCATGGCTATAGAATAAAGTGAATGACCTGAAACTTCTCTATTCTCCTTGGGGTGGCACATTCAAACCATTCCATATGTTGTCTCCCATTCCAAGTCAAAGAAGATGCTATATTGGGTATTGGTGGAAACTAGGGAGGTCTATGGGTGCAACATTTGGTCCACAAGTATTTTGATGCGGTAATTGTCAAATGAGTGATGCAACCATATACCACCAAACATATCATAGAGGAGGATTGGTTCGCATCTAATGCTCAAAAGGTGGAGCGAGAGTTAGCGGTTGCTACCAAGGCCTCAAAGAAGAAGGCTCGTGTGGTCGATCGAGTTAAATTTACGTGCCCCAAAACTATTGGAAAAGGTGAAACTACCGTTGATGTTTATGCTGGAGAAGACTTATAAGGTCTGTAAATGATTTACTTTGTGTCTAATTCTTCAATTAAATTTTAAAGGATTGTCATTGTAGAACTAATACCTATCAAGAGAAAACTTGTTGTGTTTCCCGCTAAAAGTGTTGCGTCGATTGCAAATCCCTCGGGTGCCTAGCAACGAGGAGCTGAGAGAATGACGAGCCTGGTCTAGTCTTTCCAGCACAAAAGGGAGGTTATGATGGAACTATAAAAAGAAATATCTACCACGCCTTAGTCGGCCGCTCGTTCCTTCATCGATCTTCGTGTCATAAATGAAGCAAGTTTGCCCTTCTTTGGTTACC